TTTTAATCCGAGCGATTCGTCAGAAATTCCTGCAGATCATCAATAACTTTGAAACAGTTCCAGCTCGAACAGTCCGAGACGAAGTTCCAGCTCAAACAGTAGAAGACAGAGAATGGGAAGGAAGAAAGAATTTGTCTCTAACGCTTCTTTCATCCTCAACTTCGAATCATGAGTGTTCCTCACCACTGCTGCAATATGGTCAAACATCAGAAGGCAAAGGCCTTGAACAAACCCATAAACAGATTATTCTTGAAATACATCAGAAACTTCTGGAGATCATCAAAAATATGCAAACAGGAAGAAACGGCGGAGGTTCTGAAACTGAGCAAAAAGAAGATTCCGTTCAAACAGTACCAGACGACATATCTAAACAAAGGGAAGCAGGTCTTGCTGAAGAAATCTTGGACCAAGTTCGGGAGAGCTACCCTTGCATCGAAACTCGAGGAAGCGTACAAGGCGCCCAAACAGTACAAAACGATGTTCCTGAAGGAATGGAAGAAGTCAGAGCTCAAAGAATCGAAGACAAAATTCTGGATTACTACAAAAACAAGACATCTCTGCGAATCGTAGAAAAAGAAAAGTTGGATGTGTCAAGGGTTGCGAGAATGGAAATTACAGGAGTGGACAAGGATTTGATGGAAGTGCTAGAAGCATGTGATTCCACATACCTGAGGACTAACATCACTGCATTGATTAACCGTGTCAATAAGATGCCTTATGACGGTAATACTAAAACGTTCATAACTCATAGTGATTGGAGAGGTCAATTAGAGATGAAATTCGTCTGTATTGTCATACATAAGTATATGATAGGCAGTTTAGAAGCAAGTGATTATATAATTTGTACGTATCATTATATACGAATAGTCCCTGCTGTCCCTGATAGTCTTGTTTTCTTGTCCGGTTTGTACCCTCGCTTAAGAGAGATGGCGTTACCTGATACTACAATTTCATCTGAACAGAAAAAGTTGATTAAAAGACATTTCCTCAACAAGCTCGTGAAAAGTGGCTATCTGAAAATTGAAAACAAACGCTTATATATAAAGTAAATTGATAACACTATATAGATTAATAAAACCAAAATGAGTACCAGTATTACTGTTTGAATCCGAATCCACGTCCTCCCATTCCCATCAACCTTACTTCAAAGAGTTTTCCTTATGGAGCTCATCGCCAACTAT